GGCACGCACACACACGTGCCCAGCGTGAGTTTAAGGCACAGGGTCTGGGACTCGAACCACGGTTGACTACATGGGAGTCCAGTGAGTCATTACACTAGCTGCTGGTCCCACCTCCAGTATCTCAGATAATTTTTTTTTTTCTCTTTTAGAGAGAGATTTTTTGCTCTAGGGCATGGGTGCTTGCTGGAGAGACAGACAGAAAGTGAGAAATCACCCCACAGGGGGGATGGCCATGCCACAGTCCCTTCTCCATTCTTCTCTGGGGATTTTGGGCACGCACGCACACACGCCAAGTCCAGTACTCAAACAGCGGTCACACGTGTGGGAGTCCAGCGTCTTAACCACTGTGCCACCTGCTGGCTCAGTGAATCTTCTAAAGAAAAGGGGAATGTTAACTAGATGGTTTAGTAAGTGCAGTCAATAAATCCAAGTGGCTGACACTGACTGGCAGCAGGCCGAAGACCTGCCACCCCACCTGTGTCGTGAAGGCAGTGGTCTAGGGCAGCGTGAGTGGCCAGAGGGTGCGGCTCACCTGTAAGAGATGGCCGATGGCTGTGTCGTGGGACCCCAGGGCTTGCTCCACACCTGCTAGTTCCCTTAAAACCGGCACGCACTCCCGACTCTTGTCCCGTTTGCTGGTCTGGACACATTCCAAAGCCTCTTGATAGTGGGGCAAAGCTTCTTTTGATTTCTTCTGGCCTTGATACACTCTACAAAACCCAAAGGGATTATTTTCAAAATAATTCAATAGGGGCTGGCAGGGGGCGTGGGTGGTGAGGGGTGCTGGGCTCCCACATGGCCAACCATGGTTTGAGTCCTGGAACTGGCAGCTTGCTTTCTCACTTTTCCTCTCTCTCTTTCTCACTCTGTCCCTCTCTGGTCAGATGAAAATAAATATATAAATAAAGTTAAATAAAATAATTCTTAAAAAAAATTTAAATAGGGGGGCAGTGGTGAAGGTGTTGGACTCCCACACAGCGGACCATGGTTCGAGTCCCAGATCCAGTGGCTTGAAACTCAAGCTGGGCACGTGTGTACACATGCCCAAAATCCCAGTAGGAGATTAGAGGAGAAGGGATGGCCATAACCCCTGGGAGGGGGGTCATTTCTCACTTTCTCTTTCATGATCTCTTTTTTTTTTGGAGAGGTTTTTGCTATAGGGCACGTGCGCTCGCCAAACAGAGAGAGACAGAGAGATAGAAAGCGAGAAATCACCCCCCGGGGGGATGGCCACGCCGCAATCCCTTCTCCTCCATTCTCCTCTTAGGATCTTGGGCATGCACCCACACGCGCCCAGCGTGAGTTTAAGCCACCAGGTCCAGGACTCGAACTGCGGTCGACTACATGGGAGTCCAGTGACATAGCCAGTACGCCAACTGCTGATCCGTCCATTTCATGATCTCTCTCTCTCTGGTGAGTGCATGTGCCCTATGGCAAAAACCTTAAAAAATTAATAATAATTAAATAGAAAATACTAAAAACATAGGGGGCCTGGCAATTGAAGTTTGACCCTCTGACTCTTGGGGTCCAAATCCATTTTCTCACCAGCTAAACTTTTCCTCCAGTGGCAGCAGGGCAGTGGTCAACAGGCTGGGTCCTGGAGTCACCAGGGAGGGTAAGTCCTGGGTCCACACTCACCAGACGGATGGCCTTCAGATTGCTCAACAATCCCCTCTGTAGAGTGGGGATAATGGCAGTGCTCATTTCATTGGGTGATTATGAAGATCAAATGAACTAACATTCATAAAACACCTGACCAGGCTGACACAGAGCTATGCTGGCACAACTTGCATGGTGGTTAAGGCACTGGATATTCACACATAGCTATCTATGGTTCGAGTCCTGGACCTGGTGGCTTGTGTTCTCACTTTCTCTGTCTCTCTGTGGTCAAAATAAAAAATAACAACAATAAAAATAAGTGAATGAATAAATTTTAATAAATAAGTAAGTAAATGAATGAATAAAGTTAAAAAAGAAAAAGAAGAATGAAGCAAATTCTACCCCTCGTCCCTCAAACTTGCCATTGCTTATGAACACAGGGTCCTGGTGCTAACATGACAATGGGAAATGGAAGCTATGAAGCCAACCCACAGTGGACCTTCTGAAACTCACTGAGAACACCCTATTCACATAAAAGGCAAGATAAAATAAAATCATTCTAGTTTTGGGACCAGCAGTTAGTTTAATGGCTATGTTGCTGGACTCCCATGTAGTCTACTGTGGTTCGAGTCCCAGACCCAGCGGCTTAAACTCACGCCGGGCGTGTGTGCATGTGTGCCCAAGATCCCGAGAGGAGAATGGAGGAGAAGGGATTGCGATGTGGTCATCCCCCCTGGGGGGTGATTTCT